ATATTCGCGTTGCTTAAAATTTAACTTAAATGAGATAGATATATATTTAGAATTTAAAATGAGATAGATATATATTTAGATGTTGAAAAGAGAAATGGGGAATATGCTAAATACAAAAAGTACAAGTATCGCAAATAAATATAAATCTTATATATCCTGCCTCTACAATTTTCAATCATTTGCCTTCACCACACTGTATGCTAATCATACAATTTAGTCTCTCCAAACGCTCTAATCGTTTATTTATCTTTTAATTCGCGCAATCTCCGGATCATATGCACACGCATATATGCCAATCAAGTCCACTGTCTGCAGAAATATTGCATGTAATAATCTTTTTATTAATTCGTATGGTACTCCTCTGATAAGTGTTGGGTATACTGAATAATCCAGTAATTGCTAGTGTCGGTCCCAAACTCAGAGAAAGGAAAAGGGTTCGCTGGTTAGCAACCTACCTAAGATAAAAAAGTAGAAAAGCTCAAAGAATTAATAATGTGGAACAAGACAGATCTATTGACGACGGAAATGGTTTGAATGAGGAGACCCGCAAAAATATCTACCCATAAAAGAAAAAACAAACGACAATAGAGAAAATATGTACTCGTATGTTCATGTTGAATATTCAGTCTTGTAACGGCAGAGATCAAGAAATAATTCTAGAACTGGAAAGACACAAAATATACATCTGTGTGTATCGAAAATGAAACGGAAAGAAAAGAGAAACAGGAGATATCCAGGTTTCTACTATTGTGGTAAGAATAAACATGAAGGGTAACTTCGGGAATGGAAATATCTCCCACATCCACAACAATACAAATGAAACATTGAAGAAACACATTATATTAATAAAAGGATGAGGAGAGTAACCCTGTATTTAGAAGAGGGAAGACTACACATCATAAACATATATGTATCCGACGTAGAAAACCCAAAGCAGAGACTACGACATTCTACAACTACAACAAGAAATTAATAAAATATCAAAGGACGAGATGCTATTGATACTGAGATACTTAAATATCCGCATTGGCAATGAGGTAGCTGATGTAAAACAATGTTTTAATAAATTGATGCTAAATTAGAACGAAGAAACATTAATTGCCTTCTGCGCAGAAAATGAATTCCGAACAAATAATACATACTTCAACCATAAACCCCTGTACAAAATTATTTGGTCTAATTTAAGAGACCAAACATCCTCATTAGACTACAACATATCGAACGGAACAATACATTCATCCCAAATTCAGAAAACATTAAGAACTTTTACATCGACAAACATGGGATCTGACCTTGGATTGATATTATGCAAAGTTCGTCTTTCTCTAGCTAGCTCAATACAGCAAAAGAAGAAAATACAAGAAGAATACGTAGAAAAAGTTTCAACATTGAAATAACGAAGAATGAGATTATATGAGACTTGTATGCAAGACTAAAGTCGAAAATCAAAGAAAACGAAATCCAAAGATAAAACATGTTGGAAGAAAGTAAAAAGCAATATAGTAATGGCGGCAGAAGAAACTCTAGAAAAGCTCAAGAAAAAAATAAACAAGAATGCAGAGGATCAAAACACTTTAGTTCACGATGGAAATAAAAGAAATATTAAAGAGAAAAAGAGAAAGTTTATTTTCAATACCTCAACAACAGAACAGCACGAGAATACGAAGAGTATAGAAAAGTTAGAAACAGAATAAATACTAGGATGAGTTAAAAACGGAATACTTACAAACCTTACTAGAAGACATGGAAAGGGACGGAATTCAGAAGAGGATATGGGGAGTATTAAAATGACGGAAAAAAAAAAAGTGAATTCACACAAGCATAAGTAATCAATAGCGACACCTGGATATTTCCGAAATTTATACCAGAAAATCCAAGGCGCAATAAAACATACCCCCACGATCACAAAGGGGATTATCCATAATAGACATACGATTGCTAAAAGAAATGATCGGTTAAAAACAAAACGAAAAAGTTAAAAAATAGGAAGTCACCAAACCTAAACAAAATAGCCAACGAACTGATTAAGTATGGCGGACAGGAGTTAGTTAAACAATTTTCTTTCAATCCTTAACAACGAGACAGCCCCCAAGGAAATAAAGTGTAATCATCCCGATTTTCAAAAAGGATGATATGAAAAACTCAAAAAACTACAGAAAAATCATGCTACTGAGCAGTATCATAAAATTATTCATCCGAACTATTGAATCGATTCTTTTGAAACGCATCAGAATCACTGAGGAACAATAAAGATTCAGAAAGGACAAATCCACCACTGACGCCATATTTATAATGAGACAATTAGTAGAAAAGTCAGTGGAATTCAAATCAGCAGTTATGTATTTCATTGATTTGATCAAAGCTTATGATAGAATGAAACTGAAGAATGTAAGTAGAAAGTAGTGTAGAAACACTCAAAGAAGAAAACGTTTCAGAAGATATAGTCCATAATCAAAAAACTAAACAAACATGATTATGCATTAAATAACAGTCTGAGAAGAGGTGTCAAACTCAATAAGAATTAGATAGGAAGACTCATTCAGTTACTCCTCTTCGACATTATTATGGACGGAATATCAAACGTAAAGAAAACAGATCGACGATACAGACTGGACAAGGGGTCATTGAAAATAATATGTTATGCTGACGACGCTGTAATCATGGTGAAAGAGAAGGATAATCTACAAAGGATGCTGCATAGCTTCTACATTTTAGCAACACGATTTAAAATGGAAATATCTGTAAAGAAGATTCCTAGTTGCAACAAAAGAGCCAATCCGCTGTAAAACTAGTAATGGACGGTTGTAATCAGACAATTGAACAAGTCATGTCCTTCAGATATCTAGGCGTTAACATTAAGCCAAGATAAAAGAGAGATCAATTGCGATAAAAATGGCTGGATATCTGAGAGATGTGATATGGTACAACAAATTCATGAACATGGCAGCGAAGTATGAATATACAAATCTTGGGTCCATTAATATTGACATACGCGGCGGAAACTCATGCAGAAATATGGCGAATAAAAATTGACGACCAAAAACAAGGCGAATCTCAGAACAGCAAAAATGTAGACTAAGGAGAATAGCTGAACTCACATTGAAATATAAGATACAGTTTGCGCAATTAATGCCTTCCAATCCTGTGTTTTGGCATTGCGTATTATCTTCTTGGTTATTTTTACCTTCATAGCCAAAATGCGCGAGTTTTTTTTCAATTTCTATAGACTGATCCGATCCATCCGATTACGGCCATAAGTATATACGTAAATGACCAAGAAGGTAAATGCGATGCCTCAATAGTGGATATAATGTCATAGAGTTGAAAGGCATTAATTGCGCGAATTATATCAGAGAAATTAGGGAGAAGTGCGAAATGCAAAATATAATCAGATGGATACGAAAAAGAAGAGGAGCATGGAATGACTATGTGTCAAAGATAGAAGAACCGTTTGATAAATATAGCGCTAACATGCAAAGCCACAAAGTCAAAGACTCCCGGACCGCCAAAGCGAAAAGAATATTAAACATCTACATCACAAGAAGGGATGACGTAAATTAGTATAGATAAGCTATAGGTTTATTACAAAATAAGAAGAAGTATTCATGTTGATGTTCAGCAAAATCTGATTAGTCAATTCAAAGATAATTCCAAGTAAAAATCCTGGATTTTGGATTTATCCATCGACTAATTTAATTAATTTTCATTGATTCGTGCAATATGCTTTGTATTCAAGTTAGGATTCTACACGATTCTAAATGAATTAAAACGCTAATTGGAAATAATATTATTTATTACTTTTAATTGGAAATATTATTTATTACTTTATAAATAATATCAAACGAACATTCCGTCAACACAAACGATTTTTATACTATGTTTTATTTTATACATTAAATTCAAGTTTTCTATTGGTAACTTATTGCACTTAAGGAAACTCTCTACAGCACTATTGTAACAATATCAATAGTGCGTAACATTTAAAAAATTACAGCAGTAACATTGTTGCAACATTGAAATCTTAATATCTTATTGCAACAATATTGCAAAATATTATAATTTTTATATTTTGTAGAAAATATTGCAATATATTGTTGCAATATTGCAATTCAGTAAATAAGTAGGCCCTGTCGTGTTTTCTCTTTATGAGAGGATTATATGCCTCTCGTAAGAAGAAAATGTCCAACAGTTCTATAAGAAGGAATATGCAAATCGAATTAGCGAATCTCCTTCCCAATCTTTTTTGGATGCTTTTTAGGACTCCGAATATTTTTTGATTATGACTTTATTGTATGTATTTTGAAATATGATGCTAAACACACAATAATATGTTAGCAATTAATAAAATTAGAATAATTATTGAAATATAGTAATATATATGCAATATTTCTCTAAATATTGCAACAATATTTTATTTTTGCAAACATAGGATTACTGTTGCAGCAATGTTTTATGAAATATTACAATCTTTCAAAATTGTTGAAATATTTTGTGCTATAGAGGAAAATTTAAACACAACTTTCCTTTTTATTATTTCTTTTTTTTCATGCTTTGAATTTTTTAGAATGAAAGAATAATAAATTTCAAATCCTGAAATTTCACATTTTCTAAAAATTTGTCGAAATACATAAAATTCCAGTATAATTTCAGCATAATTTAACATCTAAAAATATTCATAGACCGCTGGACACTATGTATTGTAAGTAATTTATGTGGAAATATATTGATTTCAGAATATTATGTTTTAATATGACTCGGGCAAATAAAGCAAAGCATCTTTTTTTCTACACTATAATCCAATTGACCACTTTCAGTCCATCTTATGTGTCTTGTGTATGAAATGCTTTGCTAATTGCATTTATTTCATATCTGTTTTTTATTAAGAAAGATGTAATATTCGATACTTTTTTATGAAGTTAGTGTATATTTTTTCTTTTTTAAAATGATTAATACATTTTTTTTCCTTAGGATACATAACATGCATAATTGCCTTTTCTCACCTGCATATTTCCGGAGATTGTTTCCCGCTCACTCAATATTTCATGAAGTGGTCGCGTCCCCATCGTATTCCTTAAGGTCGTTTGAGCCAGTAACCTCGTACTGTGATGCGCGTTCTCCACATTTGCAATCGAAATGGTTGCGTTATTAACACGGTAATAGACTACTGCATCAACAGATACCGTAACGCTATCCTTTGTCAAAACCTAATATAAATAGATAATTATATTAGATAAATAGATAATTACACACATA